TGGCTAAAGCCTTGAGCAACCTGCTCTGGTGGGAGGTGTCCCTGCCCAGGGCAGGGGGTTGGGACTAGATGATCTGTAAGGTCCATTCCAAGCCTTAAATTCTATGATTTTATGATTCTATTGTTTTAATAAGTTGAGACTTTCCTAACTTCATTCTCTTGTGGCATCAAATGGAGTCAATAAATGTTTCTCTCCCACAGGTAGCTCTAGGGTTTGTTTTTCTTTGTTTATGTTCCATGTGACTCTTAACAAGCTTAGTTTGCTGCCTTGAATTGCAAGTGTGAAATTGTCTACAGGAGTTTTTCTGTATTTCATCCAGATGTCCAGTTTAATCAGCTCTTTGTCTGTCTTTGTGAATTGCTCTAAGTATAAATTCTTTTGTTGTCTGTCTAAGCACATGATTTACTGCAACTCCTCGTGCAGTTGCCTTGAGCACAGGTAATTGGGAACATCAGCACTCAGAGAAATATACCCACTTCCCTGTGTCTACAAAGGTTATATTTATTAATACAAATATAACAGAGCTTTTGATGGATTCACCTGCATAACCTTCTTTGAATGCAAATTTGGGATTTGATAAATGCAGCAGTGTGGTTGTATTTTTTTAGGTGTGTAAATCTCACCCAAAGAATGAACAGGGTCGAATCATTCCTTTACACTGGATGAATATTTAATATATATCCAAGTCTTGGGTCTCAGAACTGCCTGCACATCTGTCTTCACAATTATGATCTGATTCTACATTTAATTAAGTCTTGACTAAACCCCTTTTTGACAGAGTTACTGCAGGATCACACCTCGTATTTTTATGTTTCCTTGCTATGATTCCTTTTAATTGAATGTAAATCATTCTTAGGCCTATATTTTGCAAAGTGCTGCTAAACATTAATGCTTTACTGACTGAGTCCTGTGGTCTGTATAGCTGGTAGGGAGGAAGTAAACTTAATGGACTTGATATCCTACTTCTTTTAAAAAATGCTTTGCAAATGAGCATAGCATGGCCAGCAGTGCCCCTGTAACCCAGGAGCCTCTGCCAAGCAACTGGCCCTTAGATAGCAGTTCTGCAATTAATTACATACCAGTGCTGGGATTGCCAGAGCAAATCACATCAGCAGCCCAGCTCTGGAGCATCTCCTGTGACAGAGCCCAGCACCAGCTGTTCCAGAGAAAGATCAAAATATTCCCTTGGTGGCAAATCATATCCATAATCTACCCTCTGGAGTCATTCCTTTCTGCCTCTCAGCTGTGGAGTGTGCAGGGAGATGCAAAGATTGATCTCTGTTGTTTTTTTATTGCCTTATCTAATGTAGCTTTGAACCTCCTCACAAAGATGAACACTTCTAGTGTTCTTGTCTTTTTCGTGATGCCATTTTGCCACTGAGAGTTCTGTGAGTTGCCTAAAGGAAAGTTGCTCTGATTTCCTTCTGTATTTCCTTTCAAGTTTTGGGGTTGTGCCATTTCTAATTTGCAAGGTCTCATTTGCCATTTTACCCTCCTTAATCTCTTATACCTCTGTGGTGACCTATTTGTTTTTATCCTGATCTTGTCAGCTTAACTCTTGCCTCAGTTTCCAGAGCTCAGAGGAAGCCAGGACAGCTGTAACTTCCCAGTGGGAAGATGGTTTTTGGAATGGAGATAGACCCTGCAAAGATCTGTCCCAAGATCCCCAAACCAAGCAGCAATTGTGACCTAAAAGGTCTGTAAGGACTATGGTGACAGCAGTGAATATATTGAAGAGAGAGTAGGAATGAGCACTAACCTAAGAATCTAAGTTTTGCATCTTAAACACAAAATAAAATGCTTTTAGGAACAGGAATACATGTTATATTATTTCAGGTTTTTTTTTTTTTTTATTATTGTAAGTATTCAATTACTCAGTTATCAGGCACATGTGGAATTCTTGGAGCTGTTCTGTGCCAGGCCAGGAGTGATCTTTGCAGGTTCAGGATATTCTATGATACCCACTCGCAGGAATCAGCAGATAAAACAAACCACTTGGAAACTCCTCTTTATCGTTACTGTCACTTTTTTTCCTTTCCTTCTTTCAGATGATCACTCAAGAGTGAGATTGCAGCTGCTGGATGGGGACCCTCACTCTGACTACATCAATGCCAATTATATAGATGTAAGGCTCATGGACATTCCCCCCATGACACACATGCCTGTGACAAGTCTGCTTAGGAATTTGGTGCATCTGACATAGGGACAGGCTGTTGATCTGATATGAATGACAGCTGAATGTTATACAAACATTGTGTTGTGACAGGGAGAAGGTTCTCAGTCTCCAGTTTATTTTGTCTGACCAATCTGGACAGATGGAGATTTCCTCTGTTTGACAGATCCACCAACTTAAGTGGAATTTGGGCTAAATGACAGATGCAGAAATCAATATCAGCCCCTCACAATAGCATTAGTTGAAATCTGAGACTTACCAACTTCTTACAAAGCTGAAGTGCAGAATGTAAATAGAATGACAATTTGTTTAGTGTTACAGCATTCAGAAAGCAGCTTCCCTCACACACAGAATGATCAGGGGAGGTTTAGGTTGGATATTAGGAAGAGATTTGTTACACAGAGAGTGATCAGACATTGGAATGTGCTGCCCAGGGAGGTGGTGGATTCACCATCCCTGGAGGTTTTCAAGATGAGACTGGATGTGGCACTTAGTGCCATGGTCTAGTAAGCACAGTAGGGTTGGACTTGATGATCTTTGAGGTCTCTTCCAACCTGGCTGATTCTACGATTCTATGATCAAATGAACCTGCGTTTCTTGTAAGCAACTCCTAAATCTTAGGAGCATGACCAAGTTTAGATGTCTAAATGTCCTGATGTTTAGAATTTTAGAAGAGTTTAAGGAATGAAAAAATGCAGCTAGTGAAGTTACACAGTACTGATAAGCTGCATTTTCATACAGAGGCAAGTGCATACCTTTCTTCTTTTCAAACAAGAAGGTGAGGTGTTTTACCTATCTGTTTTCCTAGTTACCCACAGATTAGGCACAAGACTTGTGTTTCTTTGAGGAAATAGTTGTGCCCAATCCTGTTTTATCTTTGGCATCATGAGATTTCAATATTCAGCCTGAGCAAGATACTCTCACTTAAAATCTCACAGGAAAACCTAGTTGCCCCCTTGATTCATTCATTCACTACCCTGTTATGCACTGTCAGTTGTACCTGGAAAGTATCAAATCCATGGTGTGCTTTGGCTGAGCTGTGATCTGTGCTCTCACACACACTCCTGTTTTCTCTTCTTCCAGGGGTACCACAGGCCTCGCCACTACATTGCAACTCAAGGCAAGTTCATTCTTGTATGTCTAAATATTTGTAAACCCACTGCTGTTTTCAACTGTTGTAAGAGCTATTTATGGGGTGGCATTGCCTGTTCTGGGGAGCATCCTCAAACTTCTAGGGGCACAAAAGGGAAAGATATAAAATGATCCAAGATCATTAAGGCACTCAAACACAAAATCTCAGCTACAGGAATAAAAAATGTCACTTCAGAGGTGGCAGTTCAATCTGGAATGTGTCCTTTGTGCATGAAGGATGAGATTAGAACTAAAAGAGACTTTATGGATCTTGAGTTTACCTTCTGGAGTGGAATTGCTTGAGGTGTGCAGTGTGAATAAGCCTGTGACTGATGAGCCTTTGGTACTGGGAACTAGTAGGAAATGCATTTGAACAGCACTTTTCTATAAGTTAGTTGATGAGTTTCCTATGTCTTTAGGAAAAGAAATAAAATCTCAACCCAATTCAATGCTGAGAACTATCCATGATAGTTTACAAACCTCCCTACTCCTGATCTCTACAACAGGGTGCAATTTTCCTGCATCACTGCCCCAGCTCTTACACCATGATCACTTCCTCTATCATTATTTGTCTTCATTTTTGTGCATTCTTTACAAAAATGTGATGTTCATAGAAATTACTCTTAATTTCTGCTTTATGGCTTCATTGCTGGCTCGTCCCTATTGAAAGACTAAAGAAAGATGTTAGAATAAAACTGGTATTTGAGGGTGTGTGGGTATAGGGAATGCAGGAAGGCAGAGAATGCAGAGAATGGATTATGGACAGAGTGGGCGAAGTGAGTTTGTGGAAGGATTTCATCTACAGTGTAGAAGAGAGGAAGGAAATAAGGTCAAAGAGAAGCTCTTCTAATATACCTCTTGTGAGGCTCTTTGGCTGTTGGAACCTCAGTTTTTTATGGGAAAACTTCAGAAAAGGGCTAATTTCTGCCTGTTTCCTTCCTCCTTCATAATTAATCAATATTGAAGTGTGAAATAGAGTAAATTTAGTGCTGTATCAGAAACAAATTTCAATGCAGCCTTAGTTCACTATACGGTGCATCCATCTCCCATCACTTACACACAATTACCTACTGGAGCCATCTCCATTGTTTGCAATATAGCCATCACCTCTGCAGCCAGCATGCTGGAACCTTAAATACCTGCTGTGAGGAAGTGTCTGATCTCAGAGAGCTCCAGGCCCTTCATGTCTGTGACCCTGAATCACAGAGGGATGCTCTGAAAGGGAAAGTAGGATCCTGTTGGGAGCAGGACAATGGCTGAAGAATGCCTGGGAAGAGTTGTTGGCATTTTAATCCACCCTCTTGAGATGTCCTTTTGTCTTCTCTCCTGCCCCAGGGCCAATGCAAGAGACAGTGAAGGATTTCTGGAGAATGATTTGGCAAGAAAACTCTGCAAGTGTTGTCATGGTCACCAACCTGGTGGAAGTGGGCAGGGTAAGGTACCACTTCCCCAATGTGTAAACCAGACCAGAACTGGGTTTAACACAGTGTTGCTGCTCAGGCAAGCTCAGCTGTGAAATGCCTTTTGCTTCCTGTAGTAAGGAAATGAATTCAGCCTCTCTGGGTTTTTCTCTAAAGTGCAAGATTTTGTAATACTTAGCTGCTTCCCTTCTAAACTGATAAGGATCCTGTTCCTGCTGTAAGTCTGGGCTTTGGCAGAGTTATACAAATTTATGCTAGCTGAGAAGCTGTCTCCTCTTTCAGTACAGAAGGAAAAATGTACTTCTGTAATAATTATTCTTTATCTGTACGATTTGAATACTTCTCTAGCCAGAAAAATCCTGAGGGATGAGAATGTGTGACTAGTGCTCAAACTATCAAGAGAGCTCTTTAAATGACAGCTCAAAGCCTGGAGTTCCTGGGGTCACCGTTCCACGGTGGTATGATGTGCACAGCTCGATCTTGGGGCCACCAAGCAGCATTGGCCTCCTGTTCCCCAATTCACTCTTGGACCCAGGGTGAACCATGAGTCCCTGTGTCAGCACAAGGCAATTTCCAAAGCCCATGATGGGACAAACATGGATAACTCCAAAAGTATAGGCTAGACTTTAGGGAGCAAGAAGGCAGCATGGCTGGGGTGGCTCTCCCCTGCATATTCTTCCCACTCCTGGTGGTCTTTGGTTTAGAAGCTTTCTCAGCCAAGAAACTTTAGCCTCTTAAATTTTTATCCTGCTATTTGTCACTTTTCTTTGGGTCTAAGACAAATTTAAATGATAGTTTACTCGCAGCCATTAGTAATTCAGCTGCTTTGTGTTTGATTTCCCTTAGATCTCATGGTTGAATGCCAGCTGCTTCTGTTCATTTATTGTTACTTACTCTATTTTACCTTCTACTGACACTTCAGTTTGAAATAAATGCCTCTGTGTGAAAAAAAGTCCCAAACCCACAACAAACCTACATTAATCATATTTAATATTTATAAAACCCTTTTCAATTATGACTGGAACTGGAACATGAAACCTGCTTTGCAGCAGCTAATTGCCTCAGCTTTTAGGTGTTGTTCCACTCTTTCATGCTAGAGCTTTTAATAACCTGATAGTCTTTGTTAGCCTAAATATCCCTTCTGGAGCTTCACAGCCTTGGCTTTTATTTTTCCTGCTAGCTTTGCACATGGCTTCTAGAACAGGCTAAGCTGGGATATGTTGATGTGATCAAGAGATTTTTTTCTTGAGCCTTTGTTGAGGCCTGTCACAGCTGGTAAAATGCCAAGTTTGTGTCCACATCTGATAAAGAAAGCTCAGAGTCAAACAAATACAGTATATGAATAAGTATCCCACAATCCCCATGAACTGAAATTCTTTGGCAAAACAGAGAGAGTTCAGAATTACAGTAGCAATAGCACAGATTTTTCTCAAAGGGGCTGGTGGTAGTGACCACCAGGTGTTCTGTACACCTGATATATTGGTAGGGCTTGTGTGGAATTCAAGGAAGACTTAAAATCTAAATGCATCATTTACATTTGTGTTGACAACAGAGGCAACTTTAAAAAATCCTCCTGTGTTTTCTATATATGATAAAGGAATTTAGATCTAATTTATACAGTTAATTTTGACAGGGTCTGTGCATCAGAAAAAAAAAGTTTGTTTTTGATTCAGCTTGAAAGTGGAGGAAAATAAATGTAGGTCAGCTGTGACTCAACTTGAGCTAGTTCTTCTCAATACTTTCGTTTTCCCCCCAGGTAAAATGTGTTCGATACTGGCCAGATGACACAGAGGTGTATGGAGATATTAAAGTCACATTAATTGAGACAGAGCCGTTGGCAGAGTATGTCATACGCACGTTCACTGTCCAAAAGGTAAGGAAGTCTTCAGTCAGCTGAAATGTTGATACAACACCTCATTTGTCTTCAGAAATATGAACTCTGGGAAACATATCCAGAATGCTCTTGGAAGTGGGAGCTGTTACTATTTGGACAGGTTTCACTTTAGAGAAGTAAATTTTTGACAGAGATTCCATTTTTGGACAAATGATTTTACATGAACATCTTGATGTAACCACGAAAGTAGAATCCCCAGTGCATGAAGTACAGATGCATCCAAAAGCCAGCAGGTAGCTGATGGTATGCCAGGAATAATAACTGTCTTGTTTCATAGTGGCAAATGGCAGATGAAAAAAAGTTCAAATGGATGCCAGGTAGGGTCCCCTTTCAACAGAAATGAGACTATAATAAAAGCAAGAGTATAGAAACTATCCTCAAATTGGCAGGATTTGGAAAATTATGTTACTTGTAATTAAAAATTGGAAGTCTAAGTGTCAGAGTATTCCAGGTCTGTCCAAATTACTTTCCAAACACTCAGTAAGTGGTTTTAAAGCTTTTCCAAAATTCCTGCTAAATGAACTTCAGCCACACTGGGAATATTGTTTCAGTTTCCTGATGCATCAGCTCCATGGCTCATTAAATCACTGGAAAACTTGGTGAGACATGCTAATGCCAAAAGCTGACAGGTTAGAGGACCTGCTGCTGGATTTCACCCACATTTCCTTCACAATGAAGCATCACAGCTGACCAACACTTCTGAGTTACCCTTTGCAAGGCATGTACAAGAGGTGTTGATACCAATAACTTGGTATGTGAAATAATGGAATCACAGAAAAGGCAAGTGATGGGTCTGGTTCCCAGTTCCTGCCCTTTCCACCACCAGCTGTAATCTCAAACTGAGTATTTTTGGCAGCAGCTGGCAGAAAATCTCCTGTTGCCTGGGCCATGCCCACTCTCTAGGGGTTCATTCCCCAGGCTGTTGCTTCAATGCCTCAACCAGGATTTAAAAGAGACTTCTGGGTGGTTTATGGCAATAACACCAAAGGAGGTGGATAAATGCCGTAAAGGCGGTTTATGGCAATAACACCAAAGGAGGTAGATAAATGCAGTAAAGGGTGTGCTGGGGCCAAGGTCACCCTGTGACATTCCTAATGAGCTGGGTTTGAACTCTGAGACCACAGAACTGGGAGCTGGTGTGCACCTTCCCAGTCCTCAGGTGTGCCTTACCCACTTGACTTGGTTATTTGAGTTCAGCTCAAAACCTCTCAGAGTGAAAAGCAGCATCACACATTCCTGTGTGTAGTGAGAGCTCACTGCTTGTTATCCCTCTGTGTGAGGGAAGGGAGCAGGGATTGGAATATGCTGATTGCAGCCTGATGGAAGAAAAATAGAGGCTGTGCTGTCTCCTCAGAAAGGCTACCATGAGATCCGAGAGATTCGGCAGTTCCACTTCACCAGCTGGCCAGACCATGGGGTTCCTTGCTATGCCACAGGTCTCCTGGGCTTCGTCCGGCAGGTCAAGTTCCTCAACCCCCCAGAAGCAGGACCCATTGTTGTGCACTGCAGGTATGCCAGATCTTCACCTCACCCTCTTCTCCACCAGCTTTTTCATCTCTTTTCTTCTCGCCTGGCAATAATCAACTGTGCTTTGTTTGTTTAAGAGTATAATTTGTGGGTCTCACTAGGAAACAAAGCACAATGTGTTTTTCTCTCCTAAAGCTGCAGCTCTGGAGCCAAGCTGGTGTGAATTGAAGACAATGGAAGTAGGTCAGAGAGGACCTTTCAAATGTAGAAGACCCCCCAGTGGCCTATACTCTGTTAGATGCTCATCTGTTAGATGCTGGGAAAGTGGTAAATATCTGGGACAGCCATTCTAGGCTCAACAAACCTCATGTGGTAGAAGGGACAATGGCAACAAAAAGGGAATTTTAAAGCAACTTTGCTTTTCTGTACCCACAAGCACTGCAGCTCAGCTTTGTGCCAGCATCAAAGGTCTTACAAAATGTGTCCCTGCCCATAGCAAAGGGTTGGAACTAGATGATCTATAAGTTCCCTTGCAACACAAACCATTCTGTGATTTTATGATCTGAAACATTAGCCTGGCTGCCCAGGTCTGGCTGCCAGCCCTTGGGCACCTTAGTTTCCTTAAAGCCCAGGAGCTGGAATGGAAATATCAGACCAAAATCTTGCCCAGTGCCTTTCAGGGAGTAAATAAAAGGAGTTAAATGACTTCAAATGCAAGGAAAGACATTGCTACAAAACCAGAGTTTGGGTTTGTAGCAGCGGCTGTGTCTGCAGGGCTCAGGGCATGTGTGATCTAAAGATGTGGCTGGAGCACAAGGCTAGAGTACAGAGCTGGCTGTCCCAAAATCTCAGCCCTAACCAATCTACAGGAATTAACTCTAGTTCCCACACTGTGTATTCAGAAAGAGAGTGAGAATACATCCCACAACTGCTTTAAAAAAGAAAATCAATTAAATCGTATCTTTTTTTAACAGTTTTGGGTTGGGTGGGTGTTTTGTTTTGTTGGGATTTTTAGGAAGCAATGAATCAGTTTTATAGTCAAACACAGCTAAGCCTGAGGAGCTGGCACAAGGGAATTCATTTAGAGCTCAGGGCCTGGGTTTGGTACCTTGGTGCCATGACATTGCTCTGGCCCTGGAAGGTGTCTGAACCTGATTCATTGTCACCAAGGAAGCAAGGAGAGATTTGTCACCCTTCTCATTTTAATGATCAAATGCCATTTCCTCTATGTTATTTATCTGCTTTTGAATTTTAATGACTTGCTTTAAGTGGTAATTATCAAATTCTCCCTCCCAATGCCTGGCTGGATAATATCACTGTTCGATATTTATGAAGTGCCAGGATCCTCTAAATATAGAAATGTTATAACTATTTGTTAAAATTCTGAAAAGCTGAGAGATAAAGGGAGAGGAAATGCCTCTTATTCATTAAAATTCTGCAAATGAAAAATATCTTCTCTCTATTCAGCAGCTGATTAATCTGGTCCATTAATTTATGGTCATTCATATCTCCTTGCTTTCGGCTCTGCTGGAGTTTTCATGCAGCTAAAGTTTCCCTGATTTGAGCAGAGTTTTCCTCCTTCCCTCGGAGTAATGTGAAGAGATGTTCTCCTCTCTCTATCCTTCACACCTAAGCAGCTTGGCTGATTTCCCGGGAGGGAAGGAGGACACGATGACAACACAGTTCTGCAGGAGATGGCCCAGTTCTCACAAGCAGCAGGGAGCTCTGAACTGAAGGTTTTGAGTAGCCTCCAGCTCCTCTCTGTATAATTTTACAACCCATAACTCAAAATCACTCTCCTCGGGACCCAAACTCCTCTGGATTAAACAGGGAAAAGTAACACTTGAAGTGAAGGATTGAGACCCTTTCATCATGCCCCCTTGAGTCAACATGTGTGCCTTTTAAAGAGTCCCACGGAATAAAATTTCTGGAGTTGTGTCTGTTTGCAGTCCAGAGGCTGCTCTCCCTCATCCTGTGTGATGAGAGGTGTGAACCAGCCTGTAAAACATCATGATTATTTTCATAGAGTCATTTTTTGTTGGCGTCCAATAACACAAAGCTTTTCTTCCTGCTACTAATATTTTGTTGGTGTTCAATAACACAGAGCTTTTCTTCCTGCTCCTTGTGTCCATTTCCCTTTCAAGAAATATTATTTCACCTCATCCTCTTCAATTTTAATCTAAAGGCTCATTTAGGTACACAGAAAAGTGAACCCATCAGGGAGTGGGAGCTGCTCCCAGGAGAAGAGAGCTGTGTCTGTGCTGCTGTGATTTCCTCCTCCACAGAGCCCTGTCTCTCCACACTCCCTTGGTCACCAAGACCCTCCTGGTTTCTCTCTTTCAGTGCTGGGGCTGGGAGAACAGGGTGCTTCATTGCCATCGACATCATGCTCGACATGGCAGAGAACGAAGGTGTGGTGGATATATTTAACTGTGTGCGAGAGCTGCGATCCCAAAGGGTCAATTTGGTGCAGACAGAGGTGGGTGCCAGCAGGTCTTCCTTTATGACATGCTGCTTTTCTGTCAGCTTCTCTGCTCACCAGGAGCCCAGCAATTCATTAAACCAACACTTGCTCACTCTGTGCTGTGATGATGCAGAACTTTCAGTGACTAAACATGCCCAGATGTGCACCAAATCACATTCACTGGCAGCTACTCAGAGTCTCCACGACAGGAGGGCAAACCTTGAAGTTTAGGTCTGTGCATTGCTGATTAATTTTATTCTCATAGTAGGAAAAATGAGCTCCTGAATCCTCTCATGACTCATTCATAGGAATACTGCAGACTCCAGTAGTACCTAGTGTATGTCAATTGAGAGCTAAACAAACAAAACATCCTTGATTCAAGCTTTGGGTGCTGATTAAGCAAGCTGCTCCATCATGTAGTGTCTAGCAACTGCTCAGACATTGATGGAACTGTTAAGCTGCTGCACAAATTTTATGTATGTGCTTCAGAGTCTTCCCCTCCTGAGGGGCAGGACAATAGCCTGGAATGGAGAAGGGCTGTTCACTTTGTTGGACTTCTTATATTTACTTCAAGGAAAGAGCTTTACCCAGAATACCAAGGGTTCTGAAGAGACAGATGGAGGTGACCTGTCAGTACAGTTGGTTCTGTATGGTTGTGCCAAGGGAGGTTTGGATTGGATACTAGGAAAAAATTTCTTCACTGAAAGGATTGTCAAGCCCTAGCACAACTGCCCATGGCAGTCGTGGAGTCATCATCCTTGGAGGGATTTGACAGACATGTAGATGTGGCACTTGGGGACATGGTTAATGGTGGGCTTGGCGGTGTTGGGTTAAGGTTGGACTCAATACTCTTAGAGGTCTTTTCGAGCCAAAACTATTCTGTAATTCTTTGGTGTTATCAGAGGTCCATTCCTGATCATTGCCTTAAAATTGTGAACAGAAAGGCTTTGCATCCTTATTTCCTCCTCAGCCCATCCCCATTTTGTCCCAACATTCCTGAGAGTGTCAACTTCCCATTTTGCTTGTAAATTTAACAAATACATGAGACCTCACATTCAATGATGGATGAAATATGCTCACAAAGCTGTCACATAGCACACTGAGTAATTTGTCTCCATGTGAAACAGAGCCAAATATGCATATTGGGCATGATTTAAGAAAAAAAAAGAAGTGTGCTATTTCATGATCTGTATTGAAAACATGATTTTAATACTTGATCCCTTTCCCTGTGCAGGAGCAGTATGTGTTTGTCCATGATGCCATTTTGGAGGCATGTCTCTGTGGCAACACAGCCATTCCAGTTTGTGAGTTCAGATCCATATATTACAACATCAGCAGACTGGATCCACAGACCAATTCCAGCCAGATAAAAGATGAGTTTCAGGTAATTTCATATATCTCAGTCACTGCAGTTGGTGTATTGAAGTTGTTTAATCAATTTCTGTGTGTTATTTTATGATTTCCAACAGAGCAGAGAACGGGGACGCTGAGCCAAGGCCTGATTTCTGTTGATTTTTGTTGTTATACTACTGGATCAGGCAGAGGTTTGTTTCTGAGTATGAACTTCTCAGACTTCAGCAAGGAAAAAACTTTCCCCATTTCTGCAGTAGAGCAAGAGTACTAATTTTCACACATAATGTTGTACTTCTCATTTCAACAAATATTCTGCTGTTCATTTTCTTCTGTAATTTATACAGAAACATTTCTGCCTCAAGGTACCTTATTATCCATTCTCATGGCTCATATGCTGCTTCCAGGTCTTGACAATCAACTTGTTGACAGCCTTCCACACAGAGAAGAGAGGGAGCTCAGTGAGCAATATTTTGGCTATTATTAGTTTTCAGTGAACTCAATCCCTCAGTTCACTGTAGAAGTTTTGTCATGCACCTGGTGATGAGAACCAAAATGACATGCAGTAAAATTCAGAAGTGTCGACTTAGTGCTCTTTGCCTGGGGCAAACAACAGAATGGGGACCTACCACTGTTTGCTGTCACTGTTGTTTATCCCACCCTGATAAATGGGCTTGGGACACTCGAGCCATGAGCCCTGTGCATGTGTACCTCTTACACAGTGGAGAACTCACCCTGCAGAACACTGACCTATGTTTTCCAGTCTTATTCCTCATGTATTTGTAATTATTCCCAGTGAGGGTGCTGAGGCACTGGCACAGGTTACCCAGAGCAGCTGTGGCTGGAAGTGTTCCAGGCCAGGTTGGATGGGGCTTGGAGCAACCTGGGCTAGTGGAAGGTGTCCTTATGTCAGGGGGCTGGAACAACATAATCTCTAAGTTCTCTTCCAAGTCAGGCCATTCTGTGATTTTCCACCATGGCAAAAAGCGTAAGATTGTGGGAAATTTGTGGCAAGGTGAGTTTGATGGGAAAGGGAGACACCTCTGCTATTTGTTGAGGCCACTTGTGGTCAGCAGTAAAAAGGTAGAGATTCCTTAAATTGTGGTAAATTCCCACCCCCTTTCACAGCAAAGTCTTGTAGGAACCCCAGCCTGAGTCAAAGGCCTCTTTTCCTCCCTCTCTATGCAAAGGGAGAATGTGTGGTTTTTAGCTGAATCCTTACAGGGAACCATCAGGGTTGGTATAGTGAGATAAAGAATGTGGATCCCAACTGATGACAGTTCAATTAAAAAAAAGATCTGGTTTTATCAAGTGCTATCAGATCTGTAAGTGTTTCTGGTTCTGAACGCTTGGCATGAAGGAGCCAAAGCAGAACTTCATCAAATGCTGTTATGCTATTAAAAAAAAGTCATCTCTTGCTGGGTGTATTTTGTCATGATATGAGACGAGATTTGTCGCCTCTGTGCTTGTTCTTTTGAGCTGCCAGGGGCTGGCAGCTCCTGTGGGAAGGAAATGCTCTGCTGTACTTTGCATAAGAGGTTTGGTGTCTGTCTAGTTGTAGAATCTATTTTTGCAGGATTTTGGCTCAGAGCATTCTTCAGCCCTAATTGTCTGGATTTAATGCAAAAGCTGGTATCTTTGCTACAATCTTTATGAACCAGTTGATCTAACTATAGATCTGTGGATGCAGTTTGTATTATTTAGGTCCCACTGGCCTTCAGGTAAGGCTGGATGTATTTCTCATGCAGTACATGTTGTCTGAACACACAAAAGCTTGTTCTGGAGAGGTTTTGTAATCTGAATCTGTACAGAAACAAGGGAGAGAGGAGAAGGCTATAAAATAGACAGGAGTAAATCCCTAACGAGTCACCTGCCTAATTATCTGCACTGAGATCTGAGATTTCCTGTTGTTTCCCCAGCCAGGCTAGCTGCCTTCCTTCTCCAGACAAAGGGACTTTCTGTAGAAGCTGCATAATTTAGAGCCACTGTATTATTTCAGATTTTATACTTTGACACATTCCTTTATCTTGGATTGTTTGACCCTCCTCTTTTCTCCAGTCATAACCTCTCTGTGGCAGAAGTCATGCTCTTTGTAAGCTTTTTTTTGGCCCCTAAATATTCTGTGTTCCTCTGGCTGCAAAGAGCTCACTGCAGGACTTCATGGGCTTTGCTCAGGAAGAGGAGATGTAACAAGAAAGAACATTGACATCAGATAGCCACTGATCTAGCACCACTTAAGTGCTGGTGTTAAGTTGTGTTCACTTTGATTTGCCATTTTTGATCCCTGTTGACCAGCCAGAGCTAGTTTGTCAGGAAGCCTTCACAAGAGAGAACACAAAAGAAAAATAGATTTAAAGAAATATAGTTTGTCAAGCTGTGGAAAAGACAGATAATGGTAAAAAGACTGACAGCAAGAGACCAGAGATTAGCCATGACTGTGTAAGTGAAGCATCCTATGTGACACTCCAAAAGGAAAGTAGCAATCTAAATAATATATGAAACAGATAGACTTTCCTGTTAAAAAAAAACAAACAAAACAACAAACCCACAACGTTTTCTCTTAGGTTTTATATGTATTATTCAGATAATTCAGTGGTTTGACTGAGGAATCACAGGAGGATTTGAACCCAGTCTGACCTGCTGGGTGAGTCAGGCATACTCAGAGTATACCTGCACAGGATCCACTTGCAGAGGGAGAAGGATTTGTGCTTCCACCCCAGGGGTGGTAGAAACAGGAGGAGGTTTCACCCCATGACCAGCTAAACTGCAGCTTGTACATCTGACAGCTATTTCCAGCTTCTAGGAAAGAACAGAAATATTGCCTGACTGCTCTGGAGTTTTAGAGCTGGAAATGGTTGGCAGGTGTATAGTTCCCTCAATTTTTGCTGGAGCTAATGATTTTTGCAAGAGCTCTTCAGGATGATCTGCAAAATGCAATGTATTATAACAGCAACAAGTTCCTTAGTGCTCCATTGTTTCCTTTCTCTGGGTTCCCAAAGATTTGCTGGTCGAAGTGCCTTTGAAATCAACATACTGTGCATGTGGCATCCTTCTTGGAAATAAATTCAAAGGTAGTCAACCTGCTTCTGTCTTTCTGTCCCTTCCCAGACTCTCAACATCGTGACGCCGCGGGTTCGGCCGGAGGATTGCAGCATTGGGCTCCTGCCCAGGAACCACGACAAGAATCGCTGCATGGATGTGCTGCCCCTGGACCGGTGCCTGCCCTTCCTCATCTCCGTGGATGGTGAATCGAGTAACTACATCAATGCTGCACTCATGGATGTAAGCAGCACTGCACTGTCCCCACCAGGCTCAGTCTGCTCTGACTTTATTCCTTCTCAGGATGCTTTTCCAGGAGAAAGGGATCCAAAGCAAAAAAAAACCTTGTTGGCCTGTAGTTTCTGGGTCTGTCATGTCCAAACTGGGCAAAGCACATGCATTTTCTCTTCACAGAAATGTGTCACCTAGACTATGAGGTTGAGAGAGAGGTGGGGATGAACTCTCTTGCCATGGCTGCAGGGAGTGGACTAGAAGGAATGGCCTTGAGCTGAGACAGGGGAGAGTCAGAGCAGATACTGGACAGTTTGCCCAGAGAGGTAGAGGAGTCACTATCCCTCGAATCGTTTAAGGGGCCTCTGGATCAGAGGCTGGAAAATATGAATTAGGGTTTAAGGGTTAGCCATGACAGGTTAATGGTTGGACTTGATGATCTTAAAGGTCTCTTCCAACCTTGATGATTCTATGATTATCACATTCCTTGTGTAGTTCTGCCGTTGGTGGAAAATATTTGGCAAAGAAACTCCTGAGGTTGGATCACAGAAAGGCAGATGCACAAAGATGTGGTGGGACAGCTCATCCCATCACTGGTTTCTGTGTACATTGGGAATAGAAGTGGTGTCAGTCAGCTCTTGGAAAAGAATAATTTCCAGTGTGGAGCAAGTGATTGATTTGAGCTTATGCAGTTAAGAATGTGGGAGTCCAGGGATCAGATGTGCAAAATATTTTCAGGCTGAAAGACATGAGTTAAGCTGATGTGACTCTGTCTGAAGGCATTTTCCCTTGCTGTGTTTATAGGCTAGAATCTCACAGCACAGGTCATTTGTGGAGGGTAAATTATGTTGATGGGTTCTTTTTGCTGTGGTGCCTCACTGCCTTTGGACAGAGATGTCTTTAAAGCCACTAATTATTGCAGTTGGAGTATGTGTCAATATGATCCAGGATGAAATGTCATCATTTTTTCCCTAGCAATGTCAGGGTTGGACTTTTTAAATTTTGTCTGTTCTTCAGTCTTTGGGAAACAGTGATACTTCTGCATTTAAGAAGTTCAGTCAGATGGTCACAGGATTTATTTTAGACTTTATGAGAAAGATTGTGATGTTTTCATTGCTAACATGCCTAAGGAAACTTTTTTAAAAAGTGTTCAGTGCTTTTTCAATTCTGCAGAAGCACAATCTATCCTGTGATTTCTTAAGGACTGTGAATGTTTGCACATTTCAGCCCTCATTACCTCAAATTACTGTGCTAATATTTGTGTCATTCCCCACAACATTCCTGTGAAAGAATTTTTTTCAGTACAAAGGAATTTTTCACCTCTCATTTAAATTCAGCCACTATGGTGTTCTGCAGCTCTGCCTTATCCTTCCAGAGAGGAATCAGCAGCCTTTGAGGAAAAGAATATTCAGAAGGGAACAGCCAAAATCCCATATTTTCATTGTCCACATTTCAGAGTTGAGGACAGACCTTGTAAATTCATTTCTTTCCCAGTAACTTCATGTCTGAAGTCTTGCACTGAGCGTGGACTCTTACAGGAGATCCATCCCACATTGCCTTGACCCATCTTTAGTTCTTTCATTGTGTGAAGACAGACCCATGCTGGGGAACACCTGACAGCACAGTCCCAGTGCTGATCAGTTTATTTACAGATTTCTCATGTTTATCCCTTTTTTGAAACTTCTCCCCAGCCCTTATTTGACTTACAGCTTGCTCTGTGTATTACATGACAGCTATGATGGAAGAAGTGGTAGAGCAGGAAGAGGTGATGATACACCTAGAATGGGCTACAGCCTGGGTTTGGAAGTGTGAATTGACCCAGGAAGGCAATCTTGTCAGGCTGCTCTGGTCTGTGCTCACCAAAATTAACCCTAGACACAGAACACTATTTGAACTGTCCCTCAGGGGGTGAAGCACTTAGTCTGGGCTCAAAGCTACAACTGTGCTGGAGACTGTCTCAGGCTGTTGACTGCAGTGTTTAAAACTAGCCTCTTGTGCCTTGAGTTAGCTTTTGGGAATACAGCCAAAGGCCTATTGCTGCCCACAGAGGGGAGGAATTCTCCCACAGCTGGTTTTGAGACTCCTGTCCTTTCCCCTTCATTTCCTCTGTCTTTTTCCAGTGAACAGACCTTAGGATCTTTCCCATGAGAATCATTGGAAAGCCATCATTGCATCTGCAAAGGGTTTTGTTAAGAAGAAAGGAGAAATACTTACTGTCCCTCACCTTCCCCTAAAACAATTGAACATAATCCTTCTGAAAGGAGACTTTAGTCACATCCCTGAGTCAGGCCAGACAGAAATGATAATGGGTTTGTATTTAATTCAGAGCTTGGAGGAAAACATGAGTCCATGTTGTGTCCCTGACATCATCATTCCCCCACAGTCCTACACATGTTCTCTTACAGGAGTAATTAACATCTCTGTGTCATCTTCCCTTTAAAATAGGACAGTGAAACGGGTAGCAAACAGCTGGGACATGTCTCTTTTTTCTCCAAATGGTAAAATCCACAAGCACATCTTACCTTCAGGCTACAGTTCAGCCAGTTTTGCAGTCTGCTCTACTGGCACACAATGAAGAAAACATAGCAGAAACATCATGATGTTTGATTAAGAGATAAGATTTGCTCTTTTATTTGCTACTCTGGTGCCACCTTTGGTCTGGTACAACATAGTTTTTGGCCCATACTGGTGTTCCTAGGTTTGAAATACAGAGTAAGGAGAAAGAGAAAAATCCCATTCAGACTGATAGTTTCTCAAGAAATAATTTCTTTTTCCTTCTCTCTACTTCATGTCCCATCACCATCCTCACGTGTGCAGGCTCAGGAGCACCATGCAGCCACCCTGCAAGCTGGGGCAGACCATGCACAGCATCTTCTCCCCCTCCCAGCATGGTCTGCTCAGCACTTCCACCCACATCTGACTCACATGGAGGAGGAAAGGCAAACCCCCACACCAGCCAGCTTAATGCTTTAGGATTTTATTTATTTCTTTGCTTTAAACCCCAAATTTTAATCCTTTTGGGTTTTTTTTTTTTTTACCCTAGAAATATTGTGCCTTTTGATTCAAGTCTGCTTCACAGATGTACAGCACAAAGGCCTGTGTGGTTTCAAGGCTCATTTAAGCATTGCCTGCCGTGGTTGGAAGCGATAAAGTTTTCAGCTTGTAGCCTTTCATCTCAGAGAGCCTCACAAACATTCATTAACACAGCCCCACAGAGGTTAGGAGCACAGTTCCACCCCTCGTGGCTAGGGAGATTGAGGTCAGAGGGCTTCTTTGAGGTGAAAGAATAGCATCAGCAATTAAATGCCAATGTTGCAGGCTCTGAATATTGCCCCACAAGCTCTTCAAGGATGGCTGGGATCCAAATGTGCCACCTCTGTCACACTCCATCCCCAGGCAGCAATAGCAGATGGGGCTAATCCCTTCTGCAGTTCCTCGAGGCCATAGCAGCAGAAAGGAGAGTATTTGCTTCCAGCTGTTTTCTTGCCAATTATTAATATTACTGATAGTAGTAGTAGTAGTAATAGTAGAATTAGTATTATTTGCTGAGTCTCAAAATATAAATAATTGATTTGGGTAATCTCTGCTCTTGTGACACTTCTTTAATGAAATGTCTTCATTGGGAGCAAAAGAATCCCATTATGAGCCATTCATTCATTGCTGAGAGATAACAAGGAGAAGGATATGTGATTTGTATAATCTGGTTAAATGGCTCAGATTGCCTAGCCAGAGCCTCCCGGGTATAATATTCGTTTGAATAAAAGTTGATTGAATTTTTTTTTTTTTAACTAATCTTATTCTTTTGTTAGAGCCACAAGCAACCTGCTGCCTTTATTGTAACCCAACACCCTTTGCCCAACACCATAGCAGACTTTTGGAGGCTGGTGTTTGATTACAACTGCTCCTCTGTCGTGATGCTGAACGAGATGGATGCAGCACAGGTAAGGGCTTCTTCATTACTTCTGTCATGTAACTTTCTTCTCAAATCCAGGTGGTTTTCAGAGTGTTTCTGCTGCCATTTTCTTGTGTCCTTCCATCCCAGTAAATACATGAGGAGGAACTGAAAGGTAATAGGTAATGTTTTGGGGTATAATGAAGAATAAGTCCACGTGCTTGGCTCTTTGTAAGGCAGCTGATTCTTACTGTATTTAACAGGGATCGTAGAATGGTTTGGGTTGGAAGGGACCTTAAAGACCATGTAGTTCCCCCCCCTGCCATGGGCAGGGACACCTTCCACTAGCCCAGGGTGCTCCAAGCCCCATCCAACCTGGCCTGGACCCCTCCCAGGGATGGAGCAGCCACAGCTTCTCTGGGCAACCTGTGCCAGTGCCTCAGCACCCTCACAGGGAAGGATGTCTTCCTAATATCTAACCTAAACATGACCTCCTCCAGTTTAAGGCCATTTTCTCTTGTCCTGACACTACATACCCTTGTCCAAAGTCCCTCTCCTGCTCCCTTGGAGCCCCTTTACATACTGAAAGGCTGCTATAAGTTCTTCCCAGAGGCTTCTCTTCTCCAGGCTGA